CCATAAAATTTCAGCTCTCTAGCTTTTCTGGTTCGCGAGTTAGCAACTTACCCGTAAAAAACTTTGTCGGGGTCTTACGTGGGTACCACGCGGGAAAGACCACCCATTTTATGGATAGGGGCCCGTACGTGCATGTAGATTAACTCCCCAAAGTTTCAGCCCCGTAGCTTTTGCCGGTCTCGAGATGAAAAATCGGTACAGAGGCCCAGCACACACACAGACACAGCACAAGTCCCCAAAGTTTCAGCTCCGTAGCTTTTGCCGGTCTCGAGATGAAAAACCGATACAGAGGCCCAGCGCACACACAGACACATACACACACAGACAACCTCTCGTCAATATGCGTTTTTCGCATTGCATTGCTGCAAAAAACGCATAAATACAACCCCTCTGGCTGCTCAAAGCTTATTTTTTCTGAATTTGTAAATTTCTTGGATTTTTTGAAGCTCGGATTAATTTTTCTAACTCCGCAAATTTTTATTTACGAAAAATGCCAATTTCAGGTGCTCAGGGAACAGGAATTTATTTAATACAAAATCCTGGTCAAATCAAGGAACCCGGTGCAAGACAGCTTATTCAGGAATATATTACTGATCCGTACTTAATGGGTGACAATCTAAAATTTGACTTTCGTGTTTATGCTGTTATCAAAAGCATCAATCCACTATCCATTTATGCAGCGCATGAAGGTGAAGGATTTTTATAAAGTATAAAATTCATCACACTTTACTCAGAAATTTTTTTTTTTGAAAATTAGAAAAGATAAATTTAGAAAGATTGAGGAACACGGCTAAGTAACTTTTGTTTTGCATAAATAAATTTCCGAACCCTGTGAATCCACAACCCACTGAATTGCTGCTTTTCAGGTATGGCTCGTTTTTGCACAGAAAGATATGAGCGGCCGACAACATCGAATTTCGGAAATTTATATGCTCATTTAACAAATTATTCATTAAATAAAGAAAATGATGCTTACATCCACAGTTCATCGCTGGATGATCAGATGAAAGGTTTCGATATCCTTTTTTCATGCGTTTTTGCGTCACTGTTGAAATATTCGTGCGTGTATATGCGTATGCATGTGTGTGCGTAATTTTTCACCGATATTGTTCCATATTTTAAAAATAGCAACAACATAAGTCAGAAAGATTTAATTTTATGAAAATATCTTTTCTTGTTTGAAAATATCTATATAAGGTATCAAGAACGTAAAAACAGCTCTTATGCACCCTTAGTTCTTACGTACGGATAACAGAGGCAAAAATCGAGGAAGATCTGGCGAGAGAAAGGTTTCAGGAACGAGACAAGATAGATGAGATTTCACGGTATCACACATTGTAACACTACGGGCTCATATGACGGCCCTCTCTCTTGAAGATGGATAGAAAATCAGCAAATACATTTCCAAAATGAGTGCACAAGCCAGACTGCGAAGTGAATGCTGTTGTTGTTCACTGCTGCATGAAAACGCGCAAAAATGCTTGACCGCACGTGATGGGTGCTGCTGATTTTTATACATTAAAAAATGATGAACATAGCACACTGACAAGTAGTACTGCTCTTGTGTAGAAGACCAAGGGATCGACTCCGTGAAGCAGCCAGTCCCTCTACGATTCGTTCATTTATTCCAATGATAAAATAGTTCTTTCTGGTGCGTAACAAAAGTCAAAACTACAGTCCGGTTGTTTCTAAGTACTTCTTGTCAGTTCCTGTATACCCTCTAAGTACTTCTTGTATATCTTTCCACATTTAATCACTAGAAAAATTCATTTGTGTACATTTTAGGAAGTAAACGATTGCTCACTACTGTTTTTCATCAGATGGAATCACGAGGCGTGAAAACGAAGTATCTGTGGCACAAAATTAAACTAATTATCGTCAAAACTATGATTGCAATGCTGCCTGAAATTATGCTGCATTATGAGCATTATTTTTACGACAAGCCAGGACCCGAGTGTTTCCAGGTATGACTACTCAGTCCCTACTCTAAAGCAATGTAAGCTGTTGCAAACGAAACCCTTTTGTGCAAATGATTATGGACTGGAAAGGAATAGAACCACTCATTTTCACTATTCACGAATCTTTTGCATCGTAATGTGTTATCCATTACACTACCGCCTCTCTGCACTCCACAACTGAAGCATTTATTTCTGTATGTATGCTACTCGCATACTTGCCGGTTTTTCGCGGGAATCCCAGGAAACTCCAGTTACACACATCAGTTCCTGAAAGTGATGGATGCTCTTTTTAGGCAGTTGTTTTTTCTTTTCCCTCTTTCAATTTCAGATAATGGGTTTTGATATCTTGGTAAAAAAAGATTTAGAACCTGTGTTACTGGAAGTAAATTCGGCACCAAGCTTAACAATCGAGCACTATCTTTCAAGCAATCCTCCAGATGAAGATGCAGAAAACAACGAATTACTGAGAGTTCGCTCGGTTGTCGATGAGGTAAGCCTTTTTGCTTTAGTAAGAATTTTGTAATAATAAATTGCTATGTATAAAGATAGTCACAAAACACAGAACACAGTTTCAAAATAGATCCAGTTCTGTGTTTTAGTCAAAGATGGATGTAATAAGATTCAGGAATGCTTCATTCCGTTCGTGACGAAGACTTACATGTTATGGCACTAGCAGCACTTATCTATTTGAGGTAAAGGATTATCAGCGTAACACATAAAGATCCTGGCGTTTTGTCTTATTAAAAGGATATGAATGGGATATTTTTTCTAAGAT